TTTACCAAAAGATACAGCTCTCTGCATAAGCAGATGACATGAGTTACACATCAGCAGTTAGGGAAGATCACTATATGGCAAATGAGACACAGAGATAAAGCAATGAAGGTATAAACACAATGTGTGGTTTTGGTACATGCCAACAATAAAAGCACAACTCGGTTCCATGCAAGCTGGTTTTTATCTCATTTTCAGACAATCCATCCATCAAGATATGGGCTGATGCTAAAAGTACTTATCCAACTATGTAATAAAAGAGTCAGATGAGGAAACTCCAGTGAGTGAGCAGTATGACAACTATGATGTCCAAGATCTGACAATGATATTGAATTAGGACAGTCACTTGAGTGAACAAGTAATGGCTGAAAGAAAGTAGCCTTGCTCACTTTCTAAGCTATCAAGTGGTATTTCACAATAAAATGTATACAAGACAATGGGTGATAGCCAGTTGATTATTAAACAGTGAAGATGATATTAGTAGTTATAATGCCTAGAAAACTAACAATTTGTTGACTGGAGATGTTTGCTAGGAATTTGAAAACATTTGTAAGCTGAGAAAGCATTTGCATTCACTGTTTTCCAAGCTCTCAAATGTTTCTAGGACATTGTGTGATAGCCAATTGATTATTATAAAGTAACAACAGCTGATGTTGGTAAACATAACCCATAGAACATTGACAGTATGTATGACAGACGTTTGGACAACATGGTGTTACCCAAATTTTAATTGACGTTAGTGAAAAAATATCTTGTTTTTTATCTCATAAGAACTGAAATAATTAGAGCTTGTATACCTTCAATGATAACATAAAATTAATTTGCTAGATTACACTACATTAAGAGAAAGCACTATAATACCTGATGTTTGTAGCTTATGAGTCATAGCAACAGAAAGTGTGGCATTCCAAATTATTTCATTGGTTTTGATTTACTAAGCTCAATTTTGTAGAATTTAGACATGTCATATATGAATAGTTCTGCTAAATATTTTCTTAGCATTTATTTTTCTATACAACTTTTAGGTTGAGCACAGTGTGGGCAGTGATTATATGGGTTGAGGGTATAAGCAATACCCAGTGGCACTGCTCTGAAGTAAATGGAAGTAGGATGTTCATATTAAAAAACTTCCTAGTCAGAAGATAGTGGCTGGCACTTGTGCTGTAGCTAGCCTGATTTCAACTACTTGTGTAGGACACGACACTAGTAGTTTTACTCCTTCCTTATCTAGCATCTAGGGATTTCTATGTGATCACACTGTTGAAACAGAAGCTAGGAAACTATCATCTTTGTACACAAGATAGATTATGGAAAGCAAGCAGGTAGGAATGGTGTGTTCTGGCCATGTCAACCTTACAATGGAGCTTTTGCTATATAAATTAGGGTTCAGGGCCATGGTCAAAATGCACAGTTACTAAATATAGAATGACTGTTCTGTACTTTAACAAGTCGTGTGGCAACAACAGCCAATATAAAGTTGCGGTGAAATAGAGCTACATTTCAACATTGTTTGCCATTCCAAAATTGTGTGATGCAACCAAAAATTAATTACTTTTGTGAAAGATATTTAACAATCCCTTCTGACATAAAATATTCATATTTTCTGACCATAAAGATGTGTTAAGATTGAGTATACAGAATTTCCAAGATGAGGATATTCCTTGTACTTCATGACACTGAAAAACAAAGGAATATGAATTAACTTAGGACACCAGGTCCATCCAAAAAAAGATCTGCAACAATTTGCACCCCCGTCTGTGGTACGTAAGGTATGGTGTCTTGAAACAGGTGAAAATCCAGGAACACAGATGTTGGTGTTAGAAAAACATCCATATGCCTTAGACAACAGATCACAACATTTTCAAAAAGGATATCTATCTGAAAAAGTGACAGCAGTAAATATTTTTCTTACCTGAAAATGTATTTCAGATAGATATACACCACTAAGAGCTATAACCTTGTGAGCAACTGCCATGAATTTCCTGCTTATGCCAAAAGCCTTGAAAAAACTCCCACCCCGACATGTGTCTATGTGTAGTGCATCAGCCTATGATGTAATTTTCATATTGCTGTAGTCCTCAATCAATAGCAAGGCAAAACAACCACCATGAGCACAAACAGACAGTCAGAGGCTCATTTTTGATGAGACAAAGAAAAATCTCCAGAAATGGGGAGGTAGGATGGTGGTGAAGAGAGGTAGGTATCTATTTGAAATACATTTTCAGGTAAGAAAAATGTTATCTTCAGAAATGCTACCATGTTTCTGCACCATTAAGAGCTAGAATCACACACTGAAGATAGTGGACAACCAACTACAAAGAAAGGGAAAGTCCATGGAATGTGACTTGTATGATATCAGAGATCACCTTGTAATCAGTATACCAGCCTTTAAACTCTCCTTCAAATGCCAGAGACAAGAGAGGCTGTTATATATTGAATCCAGTGTGAGGAAACACAAAAGAGTGTATTGTCAGACTTCCTCAAACAACATTATCTGAGATGGATGAGCTGGTAAATTCAATCAGTTAATCCGAAGGGGACAAGTCTCGAGACAAGAAAGTCTGTCATGAAAAAAAAAAAAAAGATGATGGCTGTTTCCATGAAAATGGACAGTCTGAGTAAGACAGCAATCATACAGTGAAAAAATGAGGAGATATAGATGAGAGAAAACCTCTGATAGCCCTCTCAGGCAGCCCAGATCTTCAGAAAATGGAAAGGTCTGGAAATAACATCAGCCAATCCCTAGGATAGAGTATGGGAAGCATCGAAGGAGTAAACATCCAACAACGACGTCCAAAAGCAAGGAGAAAAAATATGCTGTGAGAAACAAATGATACAAAGAAAAGAAAGTCAAAGGCTCAAAGGGGCATGTAAGAACCCAAAGAGCCACACAAATGTCCCAATCAGGAAGGGGACTGGATGAGGAGGCAATGGACAAAGAAGACCTGAAGGAGGTCTGCGAGAACAGAAAAAAGGAAGTGATTATCACCTGGCAAGAGGTAAAAGGTCATGAACAACTCCACTCAACAACCAAACAGGCCCTTGCTGAAAAGCCAAGTAAAGAAGAATGTAGAATGATGAAGCTGAAGAAAGCAGGACAGAGATCAGCAGTGGTAGACAGCCCATTTACATTGAGTGCTTGAATATATGGTCTACAAGAATGAGAGACAAAATGGGTTACTGTACATGAAAATACCAAACATCACAAAAGGGACCAAACAAATATTGTGCATGAAGGAGAAAATAATGTAATATATTTGTAACATCATTTGATAGATTAGAACTTTGACTTTCTACTGGTTATAAATGATACAGAGAACTATTGGCAATTTGAGAAAGAAAGGATGTGACAGGCAGATCTGGCAAAAGGGGGTTTGATTTTCTAGTTTCTGGATTTGTAACCAAATAAGATTGAAGGGTATAAAAATTAAGCTTTGCTTGACTAATAAAAATATTATAATGAGTAATTTACATTAAATTTCAGACTTCTCAGACGGGTGATGAATAAATTACAGAAGAGGGGGATACCTACAGAGCAAATGTTACAATTCTCATACTAGGAGAAAGTTTTTTTTTAATATTTTCTTATAAAATTAAGAACTGAAAGCTTACATAATATTAAAATTTTGATCATTAGCTATGTTTTGATGCCAAGTTTATTCCATTACCATGATAATAAATTACTTTAATTAAATTTTGAATGTAACTCAGTAAACCCTTATGACATGCAAAGTAAAGGATGCCTGTATGGAAAGAGTTAATATAATATAATCAACCCACTGAACAAGAAAACAGAGTTAAGGTTATGGCCACCGAAGAGCAATCTACTTTTTAGAACAATGGTGTGTGAATATCAGTCAAAAAGATGCATATTCAAAGTTAAACAATTTAAAGCCAGAGAGTACAAATGAAAGAGGGGCACTTAACAAACTATCTCTGAGAACACATATTTAATTTCAATTGTTCTTGATTTATAACATGACTTTTCTCCATATTTTCTCTATATCTTAATATTATTTCCATATTCAGCCATCTCCTTAATCTTGTTTTCAATATCATCTGGTTCCTTCTAAATTAATATGTCAATTTTATCAGCAAAAGTTAGATAGACTCTTTGAATATTAACTTGTCTGCATATTATACAGTTCCTGTAGAGGATGAAAGGCAGTTAAGAATAGCAACAGTTACTTTGCTCATTTTCACTACATCACAAGAGACAAACTCTCTGACTATTGTCCACACTTCCCCCTTTCACATACATATTGGTTTGGTCCATAGACCTATTTTGCTTTTGCATAAAGACTACTATAACACTGCTTCTCTTTCACCAATATCAGGTATAACTTCTGCAGCCTTCCATATGTGAATTGCTCTAGGTTATTTGTGTTCAAGTAAACTGAGTCTATGGTTATTATATATAAATATATTTAAAAGGTCAGCTGAAGCTATCCTAAAAATAATGTAAACAACATTTTTTTACACATTTCACTCTCTTAATTGTTCTTTGAAAATTTTAAAATACAGTAATAATAACAAAAATGCAAAGTAGTACTGTTATCAGTATATCACTATACATGGACCTTATTTTACATTCTTTCCTTTCTAGTACACTATCCATATATACAATGATGTCACTTGTATTTAAAAACTTCAGAAGTGTGAGTTGTATGAAAATGTCAAGATTAAACTTTCTGTTCATAATAATATATTTTATAACCACTTAACATAAATAAACTAAAACAAATTTCATCAAGAATTTCTTAGAAATATTTTTTATATCAATATGATTCAAACGTTGTTTCACAAATAATTTGAAATGTAAAATATACTTTTAAATTTCTGACTATCTCTATAACTTCAAATAACTTGGGCCCAGCTGTATATGTTCACTGATCTCAGAATAGTTTGGAAAATGTATGATAAATAGAACAGAAAGTTTTTCAGAAAGTCTATTAAGAAATTAATAAAGTAATTTAATAATCTATGAAATAAAATGCACCTACCTTCTGGTGTTTTCTCAAATCTCGCACTAGTTATAAACCCCAGTCTTCCATCTTGTATCTTTCTTACAAAGCCTGGAAAAAATAATTCAGTTTTATCATATACTTTCTAGCTAAAAAATTATAGCCAAAGAATTCAGCTTTATTATATACTTTCTAATTAAATTGATTTGTTACCATTACAAGGAATGAACTTGGAATTATTTTTTACCAAATAATCCAAAAAAACCCACCCAATGATAGAACATGTTACAATAATATGTTATCCCGAGTTAAAGGAAGTAGAGGAAGTTACTGACAAAATATGTCGGGTGGTTTGGATCAAAAGAGATCCAATGAAATTAATACAATTTTAGCCAAATGTGAAATTGCCAAAGCAACATTTTATAAAATACCTCTTGACAATTTTATATACAAGTTCAATACTGTGGAAAAGCATTATTAATAATAATTAATAAATATAATGTATTTTGTTATTAGATAATACTAATATACACATTTTTTAAATAGATAAATTTATTATCATTTTTGTATATGTACATAATGAAACATGTTTGATGTCACAGAAAATACACTATCCAACCAAAAGTCATGGTACACACCTCTGATTGCAGGAAAATGGGTGTGACGGCAAAATATGCAAATATTTTGGTCTATAAAGGTGAGCAGTGATTCACTCGGAAGTCATTTCAAACTTGTACATCAAATGATGAGTACACAGAAAGAGCTAACAGAGTTTCAGAGGGAAGGATAGTTAGATTTCATCTGGGGAAAATGTCTGTACAAGCTATTGTGCAACAATTAAACATTCCTAGGTCAACAGTTGGCAATGTGCTGAAGAAATGGAAGTCCACAGAAGACAGTGAGCCCAAGAAATGACCAGGTAGGCATAAAATACTGACTGACAGGAGCCAACGCACCTTGAGAAGGCTGGTTACCTCCTCTCACCACCAGACCGTAGAGAATGTGTGTTTGGAGAAGCAAGCAGCCATAGGCAATCCTATACGTGTTTCCACGACACAATGATAGCTGCATGCTATCAATTTTCATGGAAGAGCTGCAGCCTACAAGCTGTTGATAACAAAAACAAATGCACACCATCAACTGGCATGGAACAAGGCATACTGAACCTGGACCGTGGATCAATGGATAGTGATCCTGTGGACAAACGAGTCATGCAACACACTCTTCCAGTCTGATGGGTATGTTTAGGTATGGAGGTTAGTTGCAGAACACTTATTACCTGAGTGTGCTGTCCCAACAGTGAAGTTTGGAGGTGTTGGTATTATGGTCTGGGGGTGCTTCTCATGGTATGGACTAGGTCCACTGGTGGCAATGCATAGAACCATGAATGCTGAGTCCTACATTGATGTTCTGAGCAATTATGTGTGTCCTACATTTTGGCAATTTTATGGTACTAGCCCTTACACCTTCCAACATGATAACACTCCATGTCACAAAGCAAGGATTGTCAACACGTGGTTTGAAGAGAATAACATCGGAACATTGCAGTAGCCAGCACAGAGCCCCAACCTCAACCTGATAGAACATATTTAGGATGAATTGGAATGCAGAATTAGGACAAGGTCAAGATGGCCCTCTAAAGTAGTGAAGCTTACTAATGTTTTAAAGGAGTGGAGCATAATACCACCAGCTTTCTACCAGAAATTAGTAGACAGTCTTCCATGATGCATTGAAGCAGTTAATAAGGCCAAAGGCGGGCAAACACTCAATTAATTTCTTGGAATAAAGACATGTTTTATTCACAACTACCCATGTCCCATGACTTTTGAATAGAAAGTGTATGTATTCTATTTTGTTTTTTCTAATCCATAGACATAAGTTAAAGTGATAGTTTTACAACAAAACAGTTTACTCACCATGATGCAATGATTAAAAATTTGCTGAGAGCTATCATTGATTAATAAGAATATTTCAACACTGATGAGAAATGGAAGTATAGTTTAAAATGAACTAAATGAAAAGTGCAGTAAAACACATGAAGTATATGAGTAGTTTAGGTTGGATCAACATTTTAAAGGTAATAAATGAGTTAGAGAATATAACCTTGTCATATCTCATTTGCAACATTTCTCAATAGACTCAAGTTTAAAGAAAGAGGGGAGGAATAAAACAATTTGAAGTTTCAAATAAAAATACTTATAAAAATTGCAAATGTTGAATGTGTATTCAAAAGCTACAGTAATGACTGAGCCTAACACACAGTGATGTTTAGCATTAGCCATCACACTTAGTGATCAAAACATATGTAATAGCGGTATTACACTGTATAGAAAACCAAAACAACTACATATAAGGAATAGAAAGTTAAAATAATATTATGAATATATAGAACATAATATTATTTGAAGTTGACAGTTAGTATATAGTAAGAATATTCTGTACTTTTGCAATACTCTTATCATAGAAATGTGGAGGTAGGAAATGGAAGGTATAAAAAACAAGATTATAAGATCAGTTCTACAACAAAATGCAAGTAGAAACATATTTCACTTCAATTGCATGGGTGACACTCTGGTACAAATTAACCAAGGTGTGATGCAGAGAAAAGTATTAAATCTCTGTGAAAAGTCACCATTATACATCAAACTGTAAAGAAAATTAATGACAGACCATTAACTCATGATTAGTAAGGAATCCGACAACAAGCATAAGGTAAGTTTAAGAAACAAGTGGTGATGAGATAAAAGTAATGACATCATTGAGCACATGGCAAGTAATCATTTGCATTCAAGGTTGTCCATAAACTGTGGGCATTAGTAACCTAGAACTGATACGTTTATGAGAACAAGAGCTCTTGTGCAGAACTTGTGACCTGAATTTTTATTATTTTTTTTTTCTGAGTGAGTGTCAACCATATGTTGCATACCAGTTAGCAAGACAAGATCTACAAATTCTGTATAAAAAAAGCTGGGTAGATTTTAGCAGTAGCAAGTCTGTGGTGGAGAGCCTATACCAGCTGTCATCTGTACCAGAAATTGAGCCATACGCAAGCTATGTCCTCTGCTCCACCATTGCAAGTCTTGACTTCCAAGTAAATATAGTTCATTTTGTAACTAGAATTTTAAAGTTTTACTAAGTAACAGTCTTAAGTGTTGGGTGTACATTTATAAATTTGGATTGTTGATCTAGTGTTTGGAGAATGTAAAGTTGGTTTTAGTATTGATAAATGTATGTTTTTCACCTAAAAAGCCTCAGACTCATTTCTTATTTTCTTCAGTTAATGATATTTGTGCTAATGCCACTGACTGTTTTCCTGATATTTTGAATAAATACTGTTGCGTCAGCAAGGTCATGTGACTAGTGTCACGCCACGTTTTCTAGAAATATCCT